CTCATAGTTCGAGTACAAATGTCATAAAACACCTATCAAGTACTGTATACAAGTGAAACACTCCGGGGTTAACCGTGCACACACGTGTAAGCTCACCCCAAGGGTTATTCTTTAGCACTTAGTTCTTCAGAACAGAGACACCCACTAATCATGGGCTGAAGAGTATTAAAATAGCAGAAGGCCCAGCAGAAACTGTTAAGGAGTACACAATTTTAGTCTGGATCTTAGCTCAAGAGTTAAATTCAGTACAGTTACAGTAGGAAATGTTTCCCAAGAGGAAACCTGCAGAAAGGAGGGATGGGTCTCTTGGTACAGTATCACGGAGGGACAAGCTGAGAGGTATGTCCTGAAGATGTGGCTGGCCTTGCTATTGCCATTATTTATGACAGCCATGTCTAATGCTGCATAAATACTCTCCCAAATAGCAGAAACGACCATTTTTAATTATAAAGACCATTTGTTGCATCTCCCCTTTAAAAAAAAAAAACAAAAATTTATCTATTTATTGGTACTCAATTACACTTGCATCTTACAAAAAGACATCCTTTTAAATTTGGTTTAGATCTTCCTGGAACTTTTTTTGTTTTGTTAAATATTCGTTCTACCATGAAAATATTTCATACAAACATCATTTTACATACAAATACATTAAAACTTTGTGAAGAGGGTCTTTCCACACTCATGATTTTATGGCTTCGATATTTAATTGCTTAGAATTTCTGTGTATATATGTTTGTCCTGGAAAAAAAATAAACAAACTAGTTACAGTAGAAGTGGTAGAGAAAGGGGGCAGGAGCTTCAATTGCCTGAAGAGTGCCAAGAGGAGGGTCCACTTAATAGATAGTGACCTTAAGAGTTCAGAACCTTTGATCTGGGGCAAGTAAACATGCACTCAATCTTGCACCTTTTTTTTTTAATTAAAAAAAAAATAAATCCCTTATAAGACGGCTTAGAAAAGCTTTGTCCAAAAAAATAAGAGTTGTCATGTTTCCAGTACACAAAGCAGGAGGCAGCAGCTCTCCCTGGGCTGCAGGGGAGCCTGGAGCCCTCTCCCAGCCCAGCAGAGCTGCTCCCACGCCTGCCCTCCTCACCCAAACGCAGCGAGGACAGGGCGTCTGGCACCTCAGCAACGCTCTTTTCAAAGCAATTGTTTGGGTTTTTGTTTGGTTTAAGTGCGTGGAGGTGATTTCCTCAGGCACCCACAGCTCTGGCAGACGTGCTGCGCCCCAGGAGAGCAGAGCAGCAGGTAACTGGCTCCATTCTGGTCTCTGAAGAGCCATTTCCATGTATTTCCTTTGACTTTTTCAACAGTTAGGACTTAAGAGGTTAAGGGTTTTTTTAAATGACTACCCAAAAAAACCAAAAAAAGCCTTTTTATGTTTGTGAAGGAAACCCCAGGTATTTTAGTAGATCCTAAAAAGTAAAATCATAGCACGAGACTCAACTCGAGACACCCCTCCCAGGCCTAAGCCCTTTTCCCTCTTATCCAGGAGTGACCCAGCAGCAGGTAGCTCCCAGCTGCTACCTTCTCATGCTCTCCTGTTTCCAAGCTGCCATAGCAGGAGGATCCATTTAAGTTGGGTTTGGGTTTTTTTTTTTAATTTGCTTTTTTTTGTTGTCTTTTAAAGAGACAATCAGCAGCATCTAATACAGGCTGATAGAGGTTCCTTCTCATAAAGGAGCTCAGGTAACAACCCTCCCATCACAGAGGAGCCACGTGCAGCACTGCAGAGCAAAGGCAGATGTTGGGAACTGATCTATACCTGAAAAAAGCAGCAACTCCAGCTTTTCTTATACCATTCTTTAGTCACAAAGGGTATATTCTGAGAGCCAGCTGCTCACCGAGGCTCAGCTGACAGGCATCAGCTCTTCTCCCAGTTTCTGTGCCAACAGGACAGGTCTTTGGCCAGAGAAGTGGAGCTTCTTATTGCATATTCACCACAGTCAGCTGCATTCAACAGACTCAAACGGATTGTTCTGCAGAGTGACTGCTTCCCCTGCTCCAAATAACAGCCGGATTTTTGGGGGGCGGGGCGGAGGGGGTGTCTCGTGTTGCCACTGATACCCAGTTTGGCTAAGCTGGTCTCGCTATCCAGTGAGCCCCAGAAGCTGAGCTGCAATACGTTGAGCAAGTTAAGGCATTATTTGGAGTTCTGTCACTGACCTGTGTTTGAACCGGTGGTCGCCAACGCACACCTCTCAAAAACTCCTGAGGGGCACACGGAGCCCTGAGCCCTTTCGCTGCCAAGTGGTAAAAAAACATCCCAACCCTCTCCACTCTGATAGACCACAAAGGTAAAGAAAACAAAGAATTAAAAGGCTTGGTCCTGAATCAAGCCAAAGCAGCTTTATAAACCACGACGTCTCCAAAAGGTTGGTCGCTGAAGAAGGGATCGATAGGAGGACCAATAGATTTTAACAGAGCAGAGAGAAAGGATGCTAGAGCTAAGAGACAAGAGCCACGACTGTGGCATGCTACCAGGCTACAGGCATGAGATAGAGAATCTGCCTGACTGTCACCACATCAGAGGGTTCTGAGAACACACAGAGGATATCTCAGTGCCTTCTCCTCCCTAGAGTTTCCCTACTTTAGGATGCCACCTTCAAACCTGATGCGCAAAGAGCACCTATCTTGTATTTATCTCACAAATCAGGCAATATGAAGACTGACAAACCTATTAAAATATAAGCAACTCCACACAGAGAGGAGAGAGAAGAATCTGTGACTGATCAGGAATGAAGCCAAAGGAGCTCAAGAACTCAGGACATTTTAAGCATGATTCTCTAGCGGGCACAAAGAGGCCAGCAGTCCAAAGCAGGGTACTGAGCCTGTGGAAGGAGTCACCATCCACTCACAGCAGGGTGTCTTCCCTCTCCTCTTCCCTGCACTTAAACACAAGCCTTAACTTTGCAAACTCCACGGCCCTGGCAGAATAATTCCCAAGATGAACACAACAGCTTTCTAGCAGAGGCAAACTTTTCTGCAAACAGCTGAAACAGCAGTGAGCTAAAACAATGACCTGTGGGCAGAGAGGGAAAAGATTGAGACCTGCATATTTCTTTTTGAGGTTCATCTGCTGAAGCTGTGCTGCCAGCTCACCTTTGACAGCTGTCCCTCACCTGTGAGGCTCAGTTCTGTCTCTGCACACCCAGCTGAGTCCCTGAGCTGTCACCTCTGCCAGCCACCTGCCTTGGATGAGAAGTGGAGCTGTGGCCTGAGTCTCCAGCACGAGGAGATGGGTGGTGTCAAAGCCCACACTCGCATCAGTGCTGGAAGAGTGTCTAAAAAGCCCTGAGCCTACCTGCCCCCCATCCCAGCACACACACAGGGTAGCTTTTGTGCAAGCTTCAACGGTGAGGTGGTGAAAAAGGGTTGTGATCAGTCACAGGGACTACATAGAGCCCCAAGTCAGAGAGGTTCTGATTAGTAACCCCTAGCTTTGCACAGGTACCAAAGCAAGGATTCTCAGACTGCACAGAACAGCAACCTCATCCTTCCTCTTGCAGGTACCAACCCAACACGTTCTCCATGTCCAGCTCCCCAGGCAGCCAGACACCTCCAACCGTTCAAGCAACCCACCAAAACGTGTTGCGATAGAAATGTAGCTCTGATTTCCAAATCATTTATGTTACATATATACAAACTTTTTAAAACTACAAACGTTTAAAGAAAGTGTTGCAAATGCATTTGAGCTTCTCCTAAGCTGCTAAACCCAAAAGAGAGCATTAGAGTCCCAGAAGGGCTCCAGTATCCAGACTGAGACGATACCTTATTTCTCTCTTATACAGCATTAGGCAAGACCGGTACAGTATCTGAAAAAAATGCACCATTTCCCTACCCCTGAAAAACCCCAGAACACAGCCCTGCAGATGAATATTCACAAGCCCCCACTGCTGGCTGCAACAAAGCTATGAATCGACTGCCCTTTCTAAACACGAGCAGCGGATGATGTTTTTTACATTCATTGTTTGTCTTTCAAAAACAATCTTTTCATATATATATTTTCTAAAAAAAAAAAAAGTCTTATTTTGATATCTCATACTATAGTATTTACTGTGTCTTAAACCAGTATGACTAAAAGATGGCTACAAGGCTATATTCTTCATCAACTGAACACGTACAAAAGATACAGCTCTCCATAACCAAGCACTGCAGCCTGCCCCCAAAAACGTCCACCTCCTGCATGAGACCTCCCGTGAGACACGAGCACCTCATGGCTAGAATTCTCACCTTGAGAACTGGCTGCTTCAACAGGTGAAACACACAAACCAAATCATGGACACTAAAGCAAGTCATGTGCTTGCCTTCCAGAACGTGTACTTCTGAAAGTCCTTCAGAAAGTGAATCTGTTTGCTCCTTTCAGAACATCTTCATGCAAAGAACAGCTTCATTTGCGTGTTATAATCATAAATTAAATAAAATAAGCCAGCCGTAAAGGCTAGATAAATATTAGGTTTGGACATGTTGCTATACTATTTAGAGAGCCACAGAGACCAACACACAGCACTCTCACATACACACACAAGCCTTTCCACTAGATAGAAAGGATTTTCTCCTGCAAAAGAGGATCTGTAGAAAGATACAACGTTCAGACAAGAGGAAAGGGGAGTTAAAACCCAGCCTCCTATATGCTAATAAATAAACTGCTCTATTGCAAGGTTCAGATCAAAGGTTTAAAAAGGCAATATTATGCTACTATTAGAGAATATCAAAATATTACTGTTAATCATCACAAGTGGCATATATGCAAAATGCAGTTGCACAATAATGCCTAGGCAGATATAGAGCAACACTAAAGTCTGCCGACTAAAAGTGAAAGATATACCCATTTTAGTTGTCTGTCTAGTCTTTTGGCATCTTTGCATATGGTGCAAAAGCAGAAGCTACCAAAGAATAGCACATCTCGTATAGAATAGTAAATAATTTCCCCAGATCAGACTGGTGCAAGGCTAGCTAATTTTAAATCTGCTATGAGTAACACAGTCAAACCTAGTTAGTATGCAAGAAACTCAGCTCTTAACACAGAATGCAAAGTTATGATGCAACGGCGTGAACAATCCCTGCTTGTCCAGTTTTCAGTACAAAGGTAGTGCATAGATCCAAGTTTCTGTTTCAGTTTGCTGCACGGAGGAGGAGATCCCACTTCACTTCTGCTGGGCAGCCTGGAAAGCTTTCAGTTCCAGCTGGTACCACTCGGGTGCCTCGGGGCCGCTCTGCCCGGCGGGGCTGTGGTCGTACCCGTACGCCACCGTCAGCTCCTCGTCCTTCTCCACGGCCCGCAGCGTCCGGATGCACTTGATGGGCCCGAAACGAGGATGGACAAACCTAGGGGAGGAATAAAGCACATCTGCTGGGCTTGGCTGCCAAGCCACAGGCAGCTCCTTTCCTGGCTTCAGAAGTCGCTCACGGTTCAGAGTGATACCACACCATCTGATGGCAGATGAGCAGATTGCTCTGAGTCAACCTTATAACGACCTAAGTAAAAAGGGCAAAAATAATCCCACACTAAAGCAGCTTTGTGTAGCTCTGTTATATTTTTTTTTCAATGGTCTTGCAACATTGCTGGTTTGTAAGTGATAAATAAAACAAAGTTTACCTCTGCAAGCCCAAGGCACGTGGCAGTGCTTAACATCTGCATGACAGGAAAACAGTATAGATTATGAGAGACTGGAGTGCATGGAAAACACTCATCTTACCTTCCTCAGTACAGGTCACCTAACAATCATAACTCTTCTGTACATCTTCACCCAGGGTCCCACAGTAAAGGGAACTCGGTTATTTCATGAATTAAATCTATCTTCTATATATATACCTCTGCAGGTCTGCTCATTTATACATTGGTATGAAAATAGCTATACTCTGGAGCATATGTACACATCAAGTTTCCTAGAGAGCTGTGCACCAGCTGCAGAGCAGCAAGCTGCTTATTTCTTGAGTTTCAGAAATGACAGCACACTTGATGGTGCTGGTCAAGCACCCGTAGTTCACCAAATACAGTGCAGTCCTAGTCAAGCTAGGATTTAGAGAGCTGTGCTTAAGCATTTCAGAACCAAGAGGCAGCTCCTAAAGTTCATGACAAAATCAACACAGCTGCAGATTTCAATGTACTCCATGGCTGAAGTCCCAAGAGACATCAAGTACCCGCAACACCAGCTAGCTCCCAACTCAGTCCAGGTAAGAAGGAACTCCTTCAGTGCCTGGACCTCTTACCCCAGCCCCACCAGCTGCTCCCCATCTGGCTGCCCAGAGCCACAGCCTCTGCTTACGGATCATAGGTGCAGTTGGGAGTGAAGGAATGGTTGGCCTTGTGCCCCAGGGAGGCACAGTACTTGGCGGCGTGGTTGTAGGGCTCGGGCACGTCTATCACCGTTTCGTCATCCAGGGATATTGTGTTTCCATTCAGGGCCCAGTCTCTGCCATCTACCTAGTGTGCAACACAAAAACCCAGAGTATGTGTGGACAAGTCTGCTTTGCCAGCAGCTTGAAAGCAAACATTCAAATATATGCAACTAAAGCTTTTCCTGTAAGTCATTAAGAAAAACACACACCACTTTTTTTACATATATACACACATAGGTGAACATGTGCTTACTTTCAATTAAACCCCATCACATTAAATCTGAAGGGTGGGAAGGGGGTAGGTGTAAAATCCTACTATAAGAAGATTTCTCAGAACCAACAATGGAAATTGAGACTGACTTTTTTCTCTCCTTTACCTCCTGATGTGTAATTCGCACTCCGTTGTAGAAGGACATGACTGTACTGGCTTCTGCTGCTATTTTTGAAAATAATCCTTCTCCAGCACTGGAGATGAGAGAGACATCAACATACACCCTACAAGGGAAAACAGGCATGGAATTAGTGATTGCCTACCTTTCTCATTTTCAGGAGTTATCATCACAACACTACTGGCATAAAGACTATTACATCAATATAATAAAAGTGATAATAATCATTCAAAACCTCCCAAATGCAACTCCTCCTCCTTCCTCTCTTCCACACATTCTATTTTGGCAAAATGGAGGTTTGGTGGAAAGTTGGGGCTGACTTTACCTATTAGTTACAAATTATAGATTTGTTAAAGTGCTAATCTGCCATTACTGCTCAATGATAGCTTCAGCTCAGGAACACCCCCAGTAACATACCAGAATCCCAGAGGTCCCCACTAAGCTGAGGTGGCTGCTGTGTACATGCACAGAATATTACTTCACTGAGACCCCCTGATATTACTTCTTTGAGATGCTAAGACATTATTCTGGCTTAATCTCTTAAAAAGTCCTGCTGTGTTCAATCCACTGGAGTGCCATTTTGTTGTGAGAGTCAGAGAGAAATTAAATCAAGTCAAATGCTGACTGATGTGCAGTAATAGGTTCCATTTCATAAACCCTTACAGACGTTTCCTTTTAAATTCCAAATGAGAAAAAGGTTGCAAAATCAGGCCCTAAATATGTAACAGCAAAGAAATATGGACAACATGAAAAGAGAGAAGAACAAAACCCCACCTCTCTGACTCGTAAGGATCAGGAAGAAGTGCATTTGTAGAGATGCAGGATGAAGTAGATTTGTCAAAACTGTATATTGGGCCTAAAAAAAGAGAAATCAACAAAGGAAATAAACTAATTGGCAGTACTGAACACACGCAACCCTTAACTTAATCAGGACATTCACAAATTAAATTTTAATGACTGCAAGAAATGTTATGCTTCCAAAAAAAAAAA